CTAGGACGCAGTCAAGGAATGCATATGACATTTGGATGTCTTGTCTCTTTGGTATCATTTAATTTTGAGTAGTTCCTCAGCCTTTCAAGACATTGATTTTTTTTTTTTTTTTTAAGGAGTATAGACCAGTGTATTTGTTGAATGTTCTCAATTTGGGTTTATCTGTTTCTTCACAATTAGATTCAAGTCATTACTTTCTTTTTTTCAGGAATATTACTATGTGTGATGTATATAGCCACAATAGCATTATGTCACCTAACGTAATTAACAATTCCATAATATCATGTAACATCCAGTTTTTGTTAATATTTACCTTTTTTTAAAACTAAGATTCAATCTGACATTCATACATTGCACTTGGATTCTCTTTAGTCTTTTGTCATTTAGAATAGCTCATTCTCATACTTTTTAGTTCTCAGTAAGTTTTTTAAAAATGAATTATCCTACACATTTGTAGAGGAAATAAACTTTTTCCTTTTGCAATTAGTAAGTAATTTATGGGGGTAATTTTTAATAATTAATTAATTTAGAAATGAGTTTTGAGCTTGATTTTGATTTCCCATAACAAAGTCTGTCAAAGAAAATGAACAATAGTTACACATTTAACAAGTTACACAATATATATAAAGATTATTATACCCTAAGAGAATTATGTAAAATTAATGTTTGAATAAAATATTCACATCAGTGGTGCTTTGTAGACTGCTTAGTAGTTCTTTTTTTGTTGTTCTTCAAAAGAATAAGCAAAATTTGCAAACCTTTATCAAGACTAGTCAAGAAAAAAAGAGGGAAGACAATTTACTAAAGTCAGAAATAAAGCAGGGGTATGGTAGAGCAGTTGCTTCTTCTGTTACACTGGAGTGGGCTTTGAGGAAAGAAACATCCTCTTCTTTTTCCAGTCTTCACTGGTGACTCTCCTTTTGTCACTGCAATCAGGTGTCTGGTAGGCTGCCTGCTCAGTAGCTGTGGCAAATGCTGTGATGTTGAGTCACTTTTGTGGCGGTGGCGGTGGCTGTGGTTGGCTACCCACATGATATTGGTGTTTTCAGCCTGCTCCTTGCCTGTTTCCCAGTGGGAGACGCTGCCCTTGGCTCCTGCCTAGGACCCTGGGTGTGCTCTGTTTCTCACCTGTTTCTGGTTGGAGGGGGCTGGCCCTGGCTCCTGCCTAAGGACACCAGGTGTGCTGATTCTTGCCTGCATCTGGGCGGAGGGGGCTTGCCCTCTGCTTCTGCCTTAAGACCCTGGGCAGGCTCTTGTGGGGTAATTTTTGATGCCACATGAATAATATCCTGTTTCCTGGTAACTTTTTATCTAATGGTTTTAGTATCCATTGATGATCCTTGCTTAAGTCAGTTATTTTTCTAGAGGTTGCAAAACAAAAAAAGAAAAAAAAGGTGATTTTTTAAAAAAAATATCATATTCTACACATTCTTTTGTGACCTTGTTTTTCACATAGGTTAAGGAGATTACTCTATATACTAGCTATATAGAGAGAGGTATAAGCCAACCCCCCCCCACAAACTATATTTGAGAACCTCAGCAAGTAAGATCTGAGTTAAACACCGAACTAAAATCTAAAATGTAAGTGTAAAATTTTGAACAAACAATTCTTAAATTTGGAATTATATTTACAATGTAGGTCTTCATGATTTAACCCAAAGTTTTTTTTTTTTTTTTTGTCTTTTTTTTTTTTTTTGACCGGCAATGGATCGCAACCCTCAGTGTTGCTCCCTGCACCTTGCTCAGCCAGTGAGCGGGAACCGGTCTGTATGTGGGATCCGAACCCTTGGCGGGAGCGCCGCCGCGCTTCCCAAGCGGCACACTGTAGCAGTGCGCCACTGGGCCGGCCCTAACCCAAAGTTTTAATATAAATAATAATGTAAAATATGTGAAAGAGTTTTTCTTTTTTGGTTTTAGAGTGTAAAGATGATAACACTCATAGACATTTACACACAGAGAGCACATTCCTACTCTTGCCCTCCTTGCTTTAGCTCTCACTGAGAGATGTGCTAACCGGTAGACTACTCTGAAGAGCCAGGCTTTGCTTCTCCCCATTTATAATGTTTTATAGTGTCCTGTTATCATGTACATTTGATTACAACTCAAAAAAATATTTTGATAAAGTTTTCTATTTTTATCTGGACTTTGTTTTTAAGTGAAATTATGACTCAGCCAATTTTTTTCTTTTTGATTAAAGAATTCTCTATATTCTTCCGTATATCTCCATGACTATAGAGATAACAAAATAAGTAATGACTATTTGGTGTAATAGGGTGAAAATAATAGTTAACATTTATTTATTTCGTTCTTGGCGCTGTGCTTAAAAATATAAACCCTTTACATATATTAACCCCTTAAATTCAACTTACAATTTTAGTAAATAATATTCCTTTTTTATAAATGAAGAAAATAAAATTCATATAGGAAAAATAAGTTGTCTAAAATGACAAAGATGTTATATAACTGAGCTGAGATTTAGAGTTTGTGTAACACCAACATATATTATCTGAACCATGCATACTGTGCTGTATACTAACAATGTGTTTGTTAAGATTTAAAATTTTTTAATATTAAGATCATTACTTTGATTTTGGTACTTTATGCTCTGTGGTCCTATTTATTGTGGTCTAGGTTGGTCTCTCTGACAGGTGTTTTAGCAACAAACATTTAGAGCCTATGGACCCTAATATGAGAAATAATGAACATAATAGGTGTCATCTCTATTATGGAACTTACTGTATCAATTAGTGACCCTAAAGTGAAGATGGAGATTAAGGAGGAACTGGGCATAGAGTGCTGGGAAGTTGACCAAATTGCAACCCTTCCTTCTGATTCAGTGTTTTAAGGATTATTGTCAGAATGAAGTTCTTTTTGCTGTGAGGTCCAGGCCTGGGGCAATGACTAATTATGATGATAGTTCCTTGATTTTGGAAAACCTTTCCTTTTCTTCCCCATTTAAAACTGCATCATTTTATAGTTAGTAATTGGTAGGTTAAAAGTGCAAAGGATAGTCAAACTATGCACAGTATTTTCCAGGTACTTTTTATTGTTTTGAATAGGCTGTGCATTCATTCATGTACAGTAGTGCCCACAGATAAGGGGACGTTCCAAGACCCCCAGTGGATGCCTGAAATCACAGGTAGTACTGAACCCTGTGTATAGTATGTTTTTCGTATACATACATACCTATGATAAAGTTCAATGTATAAATTAACCACAGTAAGAGATTAACAACAGAAAACTCATAATAAAATACCACTATTATAACAATATGCCAGAATCACTACTCTTGGACTTTAGGGCCCATTATTAAGTAAAATAAGCGTAATTTGAACACAAGCATCGTGATACTGAGAGACAGTCGATCTGATAACCAAGATGGCTAGTAAGTGACTAACGAATGGGTGGGTAGCATATACATAAAATAAGCGTAATTTGAACACAAGCATCGTGATACTGAGAAACAGTCGATCTGATAACCAAGATGGCTAGTAAGTGACTAACGAATGGGTGGGTAGCATATACAGCTTAGATACTCTGGACAAAGGGATGATTCACATCCTGGGCTGGAGTGAGCAGGACAGTGCAAGATTTCATCATGCTACTCAGAACTGCATGCAATTTAAAACCTATGAATTATTTTTGGAATTTTCTATTTAATATTTTCGGACTGCAGTTGACCATACTTAACTGAAACTTCAGATAAGGTGGGACTACTGTAGTACAAAGTTCCAGAGGTACAGAAGGGTATATATCGTGGAGTTCTTCCTCCTAGGATGCAGCCACTGGTACCACTTTCTTTTGTAACCATGTATATTCTTCCAGAGATAATTTACATAGGTTTATATGCTTCCTAGCAGTCTCATATAAAGTCAGTTGTTTTACACACTGTGTTAAGCCTTGAGACTTTTCACTTAACAATACATTGTAGAGATTATTTCATATCTGTACAATGTGAATTTCCTTACTAATTTTTTATAGTTGTATAATATTGTTGTAAAGATATAGTATAATTTATTTAGCTAGTGCTAAATAAGTCCAATTAATTTACATCATTCCAATTTTTTACTTGTAAGAACAGTGCTACAAGGAATCATATGAATATGTCATTTTTTACATAAATATGTGCATTTTGTACATCTGCAGTATAAATTACCCTAGAGGAGTTGCTGTGTCACACAGTATGTGCATTTATAACTTTGACAGCAGTTGCCAAATCCCTCCATTATAAGGCTACACTAATTTACATTCCTACCAGCAGTGTAAGAGAGTTTATATATTCAAATTGCCCAGTCTTGGGGAAGTTTTAACTTGCATTTCTCTTATTATGGGTGAGGTTGAGCATATTTTCATGTGCCAAGAACTCGTCTATATTTTATTTTCTGATACACTATTTTTAAATTCGGGGTTTGGCATAACCTCTAAAGACTTAACATTTTTGAGGCTATTCTCTGCAGATACTTAAAGCAAGACTAGACATAGCATAGAGGTTGAGATTATGAACTCTGGATTCTTAGGTTTATTTCTTGGCTTGCTACTTCCTAGCTCTGAGACCTTAGGAAACTTATCTAACCCCTCATTGTTATAGTTTTCTTGTCTGCAAAACTTGTAGAACTTTTAATATGTGTTAAATCAGATAAAGTGTATGAAAGCACAGTGCCCCACAAATAATAAGAGCACAAGAATGTTAGCTATTTTTAGCATGTATCTTTTTTTATACCTGTTTGTTTAATAAATACTCTATTTACAGTATAATTAAAATTATGTGGAAATAATTAATAATTTTTATTAGTAATAGAAATGAAAGAAATATGCTAAATTATTAATTGTAATGAAGTAAGTGGTGCTGAGAGTATTGTGGATAATTTTTGTTATTTTAAATATTTTCTAATACCTAATTTTTCTGTAATGGGAATGTATTTATAATAGAAAAAATCATAGTATACATTATTGTTAAATGATTTTTGTTAAAATACCCCTTCCCTCTTTTTCCATTGTAGACAGAGAGTGCATGGGCTGAAGAATATTCTGAAAAGAAGAAAGGGTCTCACAAGCGCTCAGCATCCTGGGGCAGTACAGATCAACTTAAGGAGGTCAGGAAAATAGTTCCAAGGAAGTGGGTGTTGAAATTTGATCCTCTCATTGGCTAGTTCCTTGAAGTTGTGGGCAGCAAGGATTTGTCACTTTCCATTGATTTTTTTTTTTTTTTTTTTGACTTGAGAAATAGCAACAGCAAAACAGTTATTGTATTGATTTGATGAAAGATTTGAAAAGGAAAGTGTACACATTACTGAGCTGACGATGTGTTTTTCTTTGTTTGTTTTTTTAAGAAATGTCCGTACCTGTCAAAATAATACCATCATCAGATTTATAAAATTGTAGTGATACAAATCACATTTATTATTTTTCTATATATGGTGGTGTTTCTGAAATTTAGAAACCCAATACTACCAAGTTGATTGTGGCCCCATGCTTTGATTACCATTTTCCATACCTGTAGTTAATGATGTTTGCGTTTTATACATAATGTAGAAATAAAAAGGAAAAAATCAGTCAAGGAATAAATAATATGGGGTATTCGTTGAAATTGCATTTGTCACTTAAAGATTATATTTGCAAATGCATTTGTGGCTTGAATTGAAATTTTGGGGGGTGTCAGAGGAGGCTGGCTGGCACTGGGATCAAACCCTGGACCTTGGTGTTATTAACACCGTGCTCTAACCAACTGAGCTAACCAGCCAGCCCCACAAAATTAAATAGTGTTTAAAAATGAATTCAGGGTTGGCCAGTTAGCTTACGTGGTTATAGTTCAGTGCTGATAACACCAAGGTCCAGGGTTTGGATCCCTGTACTGGCCAGCCACCAAAAAAAAAAAAAAAAAATATTTAGTTTTTGAAGCTGTTGAAGTTTAGGTGTTTGATAGAGAAATTGAAATCTAAATAAAAGTTGACTTATGGTAGGGGCACTGAGGGAATAATTATCGTTATTTTTGAATTATTTGTGAAATCTGTAATGTAATTTATTCTAAGTGCTGAAAACTTCATTTGTGTAGTACTTGGGAAGCTTGAAGGATGAGGACAATGTTGGAACATAATTTTGCTTCTTTTTAAGAGAAAGATACATACATGCACGCGTGTATGTGTGTATATGTTTATAAAAATTTTGTATTATTGTATCTTATTGGATTTTGTGATATGATTTAAAAATATAACGGACTTATTAAGATTCTGTTTTACTGGTTCTTATTAAGCAAATGTGCTTTTATTTAGAGTGGAAAACACTGTGGTGTTCTTGTTATTTTTCCCTTTTTAGATTGCAAAATTACGCCAGCAATTGCAGAGAAGTAAACACAGCAGTCGGCATCATCGAGATAAAGAAAGACAGTCTCCATTCCATGGCAACCATGCAGCTATTAATCAGTGTCAGGTAGGAGCACAGATATCATAAAATCTGAAAAGGAATTTGTTGTTTTTCTGGTGATTTGTTATTTTATAGGTAATTGGTTAGAACAAAAATGTCCAAAAAAATATTGAAACAGTGATTAAAATACTGAATCATAGCTTTCATCAAAAAACAAACAAACAGGGCCGGCCCGGTGGCGCTCTGGATAGTGCGCCGCTTGGGAAGCGCGGCGGCGCTCCCGCCTGAGGGTTCAGATCCCACATACAGACCGGTTCCCGCTCACTGGCTGAGCGAGGCGCGGGAGCAACACCGAGGGTTGCAATCCCGTTGCTGGTCCCCGGTCCGGTACGGGGGCAACACTGAGGGTTGCGATCCGTTGCCGGACACGGAAAAAAAAAAAGACAAAAGACAAAAAAAAAAAAAAACACAAAACAAAACAAAAAAAACCCCAGATTAGGTTGACAAAACAATATTTCCCTTAAGGGACCTGAGATATGACTTCTAGGAGACATAGCTAATTACATATTTTGATTTGCCATATTTTTGTTTTTATCATTTCAGTTTGCTGGAGGCAGTATGATGTAGACACATAGGTATTGGTTATGGAACAGACCCTGGATGACTAACTTATTCTGAGTCTCAGTTTCCTCATCTGAAGATTGGGAATAATAATACCTGTCTCATAAAGTCTTTTGGTAGAGTAAAACCTTTACCTGCTTTGATTCCTTACTAGAGTCTTATGAACTGCTCTTGATGGCTTACCCAGGGAGCACTTCTCTTTAATTGAATTGAAATTGGCTGGGGTCCTTTGGCAAGGAAAGAGTAAGTTCATTTCAAGTTCTACGACTGAATCGTTTAAATTCCAAAACTGAAGCTTTGGGAATGGGAGAGCCTAGATACAATTTTCTATCTCAACAGTAAGACAATAGGCCCTGGGACATAGAGAGAAACTAGAAGGATTAATTCTGTGACTTTCAGATTATTTTATAGGACTGGAATTGGCAAACTGTGGTCTGGAAGCCAAGTATGGCGCAATAGGCCCTGGGACATAGAGAGAAACTAGAAGGATTAATTCTGCGACTTTCAGATTATTTTATAGGACTGGAATTGGCAAACTGTGGTCTGGAAGCCAAGTATGGCCCACCACTTATTTTTGTAAATAAGATTTTGTTGGAATATAGCCATTCTCATTTTTTATGTATTTCTACAACTTCTTTCATGCTACAGCAATATAATTTGAGTAGTTGTGACAAAGACTGTCTGGTCCACAAAGCTGAAAATACTTACTGTTTGGCCCTTCATAGAAAAAGTTTGCCAGCTTTTTTATAAGATGATGAGGATTGCTAAGTATACGTAGATTGTTTTCAATAAAAAGTATGGGTAAAAGTATCTATCTTTTCAAACTGATTTTGTTTTAAAACAGTGATACGTTTCACAAATCTGTAGCTTGGTTGTCGTTTCCAGTAGCATTTTTCCTTATATTAGATATTTTAGTTAAAATATGATTATACATTAATACATTTTAAAAACTTACACAAACTGGATTTCTGGAGATATAGAAATGTAAAACTGACAAAATAAAACATGAAGAATTTGTATAAATTACTATCAAAATTTGAAAATTAAACACCAAACCTCCTCACCCTAGCTAGATGAATTTATTTTTCAAGTAGCTCTATTTTCTAGTCCTTACTTTCTCTGTAAAGGGATGTTTTTGATTTAAAAAAACATGAATTTTGTGCAATTTCCAATAATCCTTGTTAACTAAATTAATTTTGCAAGAGAGGAAAACATTTTAAAATAAATTTAGCATGGGTTAAGCATCCCAAGTGCGAATATCCAAAATCTGAAATGCTCCAAAATCTGAAACTTTTTGAGTGCCAACATGAAGCTCAAAGGAAATGCTCATTGCAGCACTATGGATTACAGATTCTCAGATTTGGGATGCTTAACCAGAATGTATAGTGCAAATATTCCAAACTGATCCCAAACATTTTGGATAAGGGATACTCAACCGGTACTTTTAAAGCCACTGATTTTAATTCCATTAAAAAAAAATCACTTCAGAAACATAAACTCCTAAAAGTCACCACTTAATTCAATAAAATTCAGTGTTAACCACTATTCTACTTGGAGTAAAAATGTGAATTGGGAATAAAAAATGGCTTTATCTTTTAGAAACACATGTAAATTATTTATGGATGAATTAAGAGGGAGTGGAAGGTTGGCAAACTCATCTGTAAAACCATATGTGACTTCAACCTTTTGAGGGTGAGGATTTTATGATATGTAGAAGATGATTTTTATTGGGAAATTTCCTTTAGTATCTTTTAAAAATTAAGGGACAGTTTTGCTCTTATGACAGTGGTATAATCTACAGACAGTAGTTAACAAAAGGTCTTTTTCTTGGGCTTCCAGTGGATTTATTACAGTTAGAAAAGAATTCTCACATACTTTTTTTTGCGTGGTTTTTTCCCCGGAAATTCAGGGGAACTATCCGTTAAGAAGAATAAACACTGCCAATTTCCTTAGAGGAGAGAATCTTTCACATGTCAGTGGTTTCCAAAAATGGCAAAGCCCTTTAGATGCTTAGAATGTCATATTCTTTAAGTGTATTTCAGGAAATGGACTTATTAGAAAATATAGCCTACATATTTCAGAAGTGTTTGATTATTAAAATCAGATGTTAGTAACATGAGTGGGAGATGCCAGCATCTTCACAGCCAGCACATAAACTAATTTTGAAGTGAGAATTTAAAAACCACGCAGGTGTTCTCTGGCTGTTGTTACAGCCTCAAGCAAGAAAGCTCTCCACTGGGATTTTCTTATTTCTTCATCTGGATTGAGGATACTATAGTTTTGTAGTAGCCTAAGAGGGTTTGAGAGTAAAGGGATAGTGAGGTTGAAAAGGGAAAAAACCTGTTTTACTCTGAGGAATAGAGGCACATCGCACTTTAAAAATGAAAATTGCTACTCTGCACTGGAATCTTTGTATGCCAGTCCAGGATATTGTTACTATTAATTTTTTTAAAGATTTTGCCAGTTAGAAATGAAGAGAATAGGTACTTCTGCTGTGACTTATATTACAGAGTATAGCTGCAGCTTAGAAGAGCTAAGAGGTGGATACCAGATGAGAGGACAGTGATTGCTAGGAGACAAGGAAAGTAATGGTGACAGGACAGGAAGAATCAAGGTCATGTGCAGGCCCCAAATCAAAAGGCTTTAAGGTAGGAAAGCTTTTTTTCAGGTGCTTTCTAATTTTTTACCCTTCTAAACATCAGTTTTCACCTCCTGTTGGTATATTAGGGTTTCTGGCTCGTTTTTCTCTCGTAGATACGTGTTGAATTGCTGAAGAGACCTTTTTTGCCTATCAAGGCAGATTTTTGTCCTTTGAAAATTCAACACTGTATTTCTCTCTACTCGGCTACTGCTTCAGTAGGTAGGTGTTCTTCCCACCGTCCCTGATTCCGTGTCATAACACAGTCTTGTCCCCTCACTTTGAAACAGTGTGAAACACATTCAGGTTATACTGTAGGTTGATTTTAGAAGATTCCGTGTTGGCCATACCTTCTCTTGGTGTTCTTTCTTGGCTGATTCTCAGTTTTTATATAGAATTTAGTCTTTAAGCTTTAAGATATGTGGAAAAATGAAGAATGGAAATGGAAAAATTAAATGGAAATGATGGTCCACCTAGAAACCTTAATTGACTAGAATCTATTGAAGCAATTGCTTTGAGAAAGAATAAAAAACTGAGAAAACAGGAGGTATTTGTTCTTGATGTTTCCAAAGTACAGATTTGATGAGAGATGTTTTACTTTAGCACACTGAAGAACTTTTGTATCTTTCAGAACTGTCTAAAGGTAGGCCTCTGTTAATCTGATAAGCCATTTATATTTGCATATACATATGCTCCTCAAATTGTGATGGGGTTAATTAGAAAATGCATTTAATATACCTAACCTACTGAACATCATAGCTTGGCCTCTAGCCTATCTTAAATGTGCTCAGAACACTTATATTAGCCTACAGCTGGGCAAAATCATCTAACAAAGTCTGTTTTATAATAAAGTGTTAAATGTCTCATGTAACTTGTTGAATACTATACCAAAAGTGAAAAACAGAATGGTTGCATGGCTACTCGAAGTATGGTTTCTATTGTATGTGTATTGCTTTTGAACCATCTTAAAGTTGAAAAATCCTAAGTCAAACCATTTTAAGTTGGGGACCATCTGTACTGATTTATGTTAAGAAATACAAATTTTATTCCAGAAACCCATATAGATATGGGAAAAATAAACTCTTACTATTAATTTCTTTAGGAGCCATTGAAGTGAAGGATAAAAGTTTAAGTGTAATCATTTCTGTACTTTTCAGATATTATAAAATGTAGTTTATGTAAGGAGTGAAATCAGAAGCCTATTATTTTCTCTTTCTGGAACAGTAATAGTGTAGTATATTTAATGAAGAAAATCTTTCCCAGGCAGCTTGATAGATTATTTTTAATTATTTTAATTATTTTTATCATACGACTATTGCTAGTTAAATAAATTGTAGTTTAACCTTTGCTTCACTTACTTGAAATGGTGTGTTGGCCTTAGGTAAATGGCTTGCTTCTGCCTCCTTCCCTCCCTCCCTCCTTTTCTCCCTTCCTCCTTCTTCCTCTTTCTTTTTTTCCTGTCTCATTCCTTCCCTTTTTTTCCTTTCCTTTGCTTTAAACAGATTAAACTATTAATAAATACTTGCTTCTATGCAGATTATATTTGAGGAGAAACTTCTTACCAAATGTGTAGGTTGTGACTTCTTTCACTACCTTGAAAGGCAGTAGAAAAACGTACCAGCAAACCAGTTGTATGGAGTTAGTTACTACGCTGGTAGGTTATAATGTATGTATATTTCTCAACATGAGAGCCAGAGAATTTTTAAACTTTGTACTAAAGAAGCTTACTAATATATTTTTAGGGTTCTAAAATCCAGGGTCAACATTTTGCAAAAACTGTGACAATCTGTCTTTCTCCTACAGTCTC